GGTGAGCAACAAGACTTCATTAATTATATCTTCTTCAGGGAGAACAATAACGTTATAAAAAAAACAGGAGAAAATTTCAAGAAAGTAGCAACTTAGGGTTTTGCTTTTTGCATAGACAAGCCTCACCTTAATACTCGAATGCTAATTGACTTGACAAGGAAGAAGATTCACTGCGACTTCTAATTTCTGAAGTTAGATTTGAGTATTCGTTAATTATATATAGGGTCGACTCTTTCCTTCTTTTTTCCCCTAGAAAACGAATTTAGTGGAAATAAATAGGAGTACTATATATTTAAACCACAATTAATACGATATGAATTAAGCACGAGTATCATTACTTGCTAATAAGTTTAGCCAATTAATGGAAAGAATTTCCTTTTCTATAGACTTTCTATTCTTTTCATATTTCTAGTTTTCCATTAGATCGAATGTTAACTTTTTGAATATAAGTTTAAAAAAAAAAAAAACTTTTTGAATATACTTTATAATTTTAGCCAGTTAGAATGGAGAAATTCAAGTTTTACTATTTTTTTCATGTCGATTTAATATTCCTCTCTAACCTAATAAAACATATGTGACTTTCTCTATAGCCCGAAACCATTTATACATTGACGATAAGCAGTAGCTATTCCAATGGAAACACCACACATATTTTAGAGTAGATATTGACAGAGATACTAGCAATGTTACCTTTGACAAGCATCTCGAGATTCAAATCGCGCGGTGTGCAAGAAATGGAAATCGACACTTGAATGTGTGAACACAAGACAGCACAGATTGGATACAATCTTTTGAAGGTTTGAAAGTTGAAAAAAATTATGAATGTTGGCAACTTTTGTGGGAAATCCGCCTCCCACGTACCGAGTTTGCATGTCTTTATGTATCCATAGCAATGCCTTCATTTGATCCCGATATTGTCTATATATGAAAAATTTTGGTTAACGATTTTAATAGGAAAATTGTGTTTGAAGTTTCTCTGGTAGGAGTATTAGACCATGTTTATCAATGATACGGTTGAGAATTAAAAAAAAAA